ACCTGAGAGTCTTAGGGAAAGTTGCATATGTTGAGTTTTTGCACAGGCAGTTTACAACTGAGATGTGCTAACTTTAAAAAAGTTTGTGTCAGGCAGTTTAGGATTGCATGAACCAGATCTTTCTTTATAATGGAGATGGTTAGATGTCTCAAAACCAGGGCCGTAGCCAGAAAAAAATTTCGGGAGGGGTTGAAAATGGTTGGGGGGGGTTTGAAAATTTCGGGGGGGGGGTGTTGAAACCTGCCTCCTAGCTCACACTGAAGCAAAGAGCACAGCAGGGGGCAGAGCAGCCTTCAATAGCCTGCAGCTCCGCCCTGTCAACCACCTCCACCAAGTCTGGCCTCCTTAATGAGAGCATTCAACACCCCCCCCCCCAACTTGGTTGCTTCACTACTGTTCTGTTGCGCGCTGGGCCTGTAAATAATTGTCTTTAGAACAGGATGTGCAACCTTTGCCAGCGGGAAGCCAAAGGTTTCAGAGGTTTCCACCACAAACAGTCTTTAGATGGCTTGAGAAGTACAACAAAGTCTTTTATTAATGAACAATCAAACAGAAACTTCTTTTGTCTTCAGTAAAGTTAAGCAAATGATTCCAAGCTTTTAGGCAACTGGTGAATTCCTAATCTTGCCCACGAAGAACAGGCAACTGTCTTCAATAACTTCTTCTTTAAAGGAAAATCCCCTTTTTAACTTCTCCCAGGCTGACTGTAATCTAACCCTTACTGATGTGGGCTCCGCTACTGGGTCGAACTGCATCTCAAACGCCGAGTGGACATACCAGCAAGGCAGTAGATGTTCTCCATCTGGAGTTCTTTGGTCTTTAGGGCTGTTTTCCTGGAAATTCTTTGGAGATTCTTAAGACCTTTTCCCCCGAAGGTCTTAAGGGTTGAAGCTTTTGTACAGGGGAAGCTTGCACACATCCTATACATAAGCTTACTTCGCTGAGACTAACTAAAAATGGCTCCCTTCCCTTCCCAATTGCCCTGAGCAAGGGGCGGGACCAAAACTTAACAATGATGGACAGGTGACTTGCCCTATGACTGCAACCAAAGAAGCCACCTATCTGCAGAGTCCCTGAAACCTAGGACTGCAAGCAAACATGTAATACAAAGCAAATAAAGTTGGAGCTCCTGGTACAGCTGTACCAGAACAACTACATCGGCTATTGCTGCAAGTAATGACAGTGTGAATAAATTGATAATATTTGCTTGAGATAGTGCTTGCAGTTCTGGAGGGACTCTTGATTTTTTGCATCTCATAGACTTAGCATGGGGATTTGGTTAACCAGTTAAAATTCATGAGTAAACCAGGTTTTTAAAAAAAATCTGAAACATTTCGGGGGGGGGGTTGAACCCCTAACCCCCCCCCCCTCGCTACGGGCCTGCTCAAAACGTATCCTTGTTTGCAAACACATGGCAAGAAGTGTTTAGCTTTGTCTTGTGGCTTCAGGAGGGTTTGTTCTTTTGTGAGGTGACATACATTGGGGGGAGAAAAGGGCATGGTGGCCAAGGGGCAGAGATACCCTGAAGTCATGTCTTCCTCTAGAGTTCTTTGCAGAAGTTGCTTAGGTTGCCTTGGCAACTCCATGGCAGACAGGGCTTGTGTGTAACTCCTGTGGAGTGGCACCAGGGATCAATTTAGCATCTTTGCCTGTAGCAACAGTGACAAAATGGTGTTGTCCTATCCTTCCACCCCCCAGTCAAATATAAGCAGGGGTCAAGGAACACAGGAGTAAATTGTATGATTTAGAAACTAAGAGCCCTTCCATACAGCCATATAATCCAGAATATCAAGGCAGATAATCCACAATGTCTGCTTTGAACTGGATTATCTGAGTCCACTCTGCCATACAGTCCAGTTCAATGTGGATTTTGTACAACTGTGTGGAAGGGGCATGAGTCTGTCACACAGAACACACACACACACAAGCACTGTTTATTTATTTCCAGCATTTCTACCCCGTCCTTCTTAACCCCCTCCCGGGGGGGGGGGGGACGACGACGACCTAAGGACGGCTTACACTTGGCAGAAATTTGATGCCGCAATGTACAAACAAATACAAAAAAATAACAACAATTTAAACAAATCATTAAGTTAAAAACAATGTAAAAACATTTGTCAACCAAATAGCCATTCCAGTCCAATTCTCCATCCAAAGTGCCGTTATGCCTGCTGTCCAAAAGCCTGGTCCCAGAACCATGATTTCAATTTCTTCCTGAAAGACAGGAGAGATGAAGCTGACCTAATCTTGCTGGGGAGTGAGTTCCAAAGGCCACCTTTGTAGAGTGAAAGAGACTGATTTCTGTAAGGGGAATGGTGATCTTTTACTTAGTGTGCAAGAATTTATGGAGTAGTGGATACTGTGTTACACAGTGTGTAGTGTGGCAGTTTTAGTGGTCTCCTGAGATACGGTCTTCTAAAAAATAGTTTAAAAGTTGGTTTTTACTGAAATTTGGATTGCCATATTCCACTTCCTCAAGTTTTAAATAAACAAAATACTCTGATTTGTATTTCAATTATGCAAATCTAGCAGTTAATTATTCAATTTTTCTTCTACCATGTTCCAGCCTTTATACTGTTTTTACAGTTGCAGTCGATCTGAGAAAACAAGCATGGAATAATGTTTAAAGCACTGGATGTGGGACAGGGAGATCCAAATCTTTATTTGGTTGTGGAATTTACTACGTGACTTTGAGCTATCAATTCCTTTCAGCAAACTTACCTTAAAATCCTCCTACTTTTGTGTCTCGTCCTTCACACGATTCAATTCCTTCTATTGCCTAACTTCATACCTTCAGTGACATTGGGTAAAAAGCTTGGAAACATGTGTACATGTATGATTTTATATAGAAACTCATGGGTCATGTATACTGCCATGTTTGATGTGTACTGTATTTTCTACCCTGGTTTACCTTTGCAGGGAAGTTCCCAAATTATCTTTAGTTTAATAATTCCCTGTCTCCACTTTAAATTAAGTTTAATAAATGAGGAAATTCAAAACTGAATTGCCTTGTTTTCTATATTGTTCATCCATTGTAATGACTAGTCTTCTATACCTAGGCAGACATTACTTGTGCATCCGGCTTAGAAGAATACCAATTCTTGTTGAATCTACAAAAAATGACACAGGTTGAGCATCCCTTATCCAAAATACTCCAGAGTTGTCTGCATTTATAACTGAGGTAGTAATATGTTTGCTTTCTGATTGTTCGATACACACAAACTTTGTTTCATGTGCAAAATTAAAAAACTGCACAAAGATATTAAAATAGTTCACAAAATTCTTACAGTATCTACTGGTGCATTTGAATCATAAATAAATTTAATGTTTATACTTGGCTCTTCTCTCCAAGATATCTCATTATGCATGTATATTTGAATATAGATATTCCAAAATTTGAAAAAAAAATCCGGAATTCAGAACATTTCTGGTCTCAAGTATTTAAGATGAAGGACACCCAACCTGTACTAAGGGGTATAACGTACTGTATAACTGGTCTCTTCTGTCTATTTGGGACCGATTGATACATGTAGGACAGTAGCCATAGATGGTTCTGAAAACATAGAGGTACATGTCTGCTCTAACTGCACATTTGAGTACCCACTCCCTTTGGCTACTAGTTCCTGTTCCCCTTCTATTGTTCTTACTCTGTTTCAACACCTTTGTAATTCCTTCTATTTCTTGTATCTTTGCTGAAAGTGCACCACACCTTTTGCGAATGACCATCTTGGAGTAAATCAACGATATGCCAATGTGGTGCACATAATTCAGGGTCGGTTCTTATTTAGGTGGCAAACATAGACATGGACTGTACCACTGTAGGCTTGGTAATATCCCCAAAGATATTAGACAGGCCCCTACGTTGGCAGTCTTCAGGAAGAACTTGAAGACCTGGCTGTTCCAATGTGCCTTTCCAGAATAGGAAAACTCCAACAACAAGTCCCAGAAGCACTTTAGTAGAACTTAAGATTGCTGGCACACTGCACTTTCCCTGAAATCCGATATACCACCTGTCACATCAGCACTTTTAATCTGTACCCATTACTTTGACCCGGCCCCAGTTTTTATTGTGTTTTGGTGTATTGTTCTTATTGTTTTGTTGTTTTAATATTGCTTTAATTGTTTCTGATTTGCTTTAAGTTGTGTATTGTTATGCTACGTTTTGAGGCATTGGCCTTTGTAAGGCGCATCGAGCCCTTCGGGAGATGCTAGCGGGGTACAAATAAAGTTAATAATAATAATAATAATAATAGGTCTCATATGATTGAATACTCCTCCAAACCGGACAGTTCCCACTGCCTGGCAAAAGTTCCCACTGCCTGGCACTGCCTGGGGAGAAAGCTTCTGGCTCAACTTCTCTGTCATGTACCAGTTTTGACATGTAATCTGAAATGATGCTGCTGGGATCCTACATGTGTGCATAGCTCTGTATGCGCAACTCTGCGTTCTCTCATTGCCTGACAGCTCTCAGATCTCAGGAGGGGTTGCTGTTGCATACCAGAAGAATGAGGAGGGAGGAGAGGAGGCAATTTAAATGATAGAGATGCAGCTGGCCACAGCTCAGTTAAAGGGGAGAAATGAGGGTGCATTCTCTGGTAGAGTACTCATGTTTATGTTCTTTCAGGAGCTCTGATTACCAGGATTATTATAGTCTGAACAATTTGGTCAGAGGGAATTTTTGGAAAAAGCACAAGGGCAAGGGAATCTTTATGCCCATGCAAAAAAACAAACAAACAAACTATACACATGTGCTCTGTTTATGGGCAAATCATTAACAGGATGAATGGCACAACTTAAGTTTAGACCTTGTTCTAGTTGATGTAATTCTGCTACCTTTGCCACCAAAACTGAACCTTCTTGATGCCGCATTTTCACAGTCCAGATTGTTCTCCAGTTAGAAGCAAGGAGGTTCAAGGTCTGTGACAGTCTCCTTCAGCAAGGGCTTGTTTCTTATTCCCTGCAGTTTTACTAACACCACTCTTTCTTTTAACTGCAGAATGTTGTCTCCAAGTATGGTGCACAGTTCCGTGGAAATTCGCAACATGATGCCCTGGAGTTCCTTCTGTGGCTGCTGGATCGCATGCATGAAGACCTGTGTTCTGTGTCCCTTAATCAAAAAGTGAAGGTATCTGGAAAGGTCAGTGTTCCAGTGGGGAGGACTCTATTTTTTCTCTGAAATCTCTCTAACCTTCTGTGGCAGCTACAAGCGAGATGCATGGCAATTGTAAGAAAGTAATTCTTGGGGTTGGTGTTACTCAGCAATGTATGTGGTGTCAAACTTGTGGCCTGTCAGGTGTTTTGGACTTTGTCTCTCAGTAATTCTGGCCTTTGCACAAGCTGAATATGGCCTCTGGGACTTGGGGCTGAAACATCTGGAAGGCCACAAGTTTGACAACTCTGAACTAAGCATTAGCTAAGAAATTTTAATCTATTGAGTTGAAAATGTAGACTGTTTTCTGATCAAAAGTATTATCTTGTAACATTTTGATTAGTTTTTTTCCCTTCATGGAGTAATATAGGAAGTTATTCCTACTGGTCCTGCTGCATTAGGTGCAAGGTAGGTATGACCTGGGAAATCAGTGATAAGTAATGAAATGTGCTATCATGTTTTGATTCAGTTGAAAACCTCAAATACTGATGATATTAGGCTCTTCCACACAGCTCTATATCCCAGAATATTTATTTATTTATTTATTTATTTACTGTATTTGTATACCACCTTTCTCAGCCAATCTGTGACTCAAGACGGTTTCCAATAAATCAGTACATATAAAAACATAATATAGATTAAAACATTAAACAATATAAAACAACACAAAAGCAATAAAAACAACATCATTAGTGTCTCATTATTATCAAGTATTGTCCAGTTCCATTGTCAAATCGTTCCATTTCCTATATTAGCTACTCTGCTTGCTCGAACAACCATGTTTTAACTTGCCTCTGAAACGTTAAGAGGGAAGGAGTAGATCTAATCTCCCTAGGGAGGGTGTTCCATAGTCGAGGGGCCACCACTGAGAAGGCCCTGTCCCCACCAAACGTACTTGAGACGAAGGCGGGACCGAGAGCAGGGCCTCCCCAGATGATCTTAGAATCCTCGATGGTTCGTAAGGGGAGACACGTTCGGACAGGTAAGTTGGTCCAGAAACGTTTAGGGCTTTATAGTAATATAAAGGCAGGAAATCCCACATTAACCCAGTTTACAGCAGATATTGTGGGATTTTCTGCCGTGATATTCTGGGATATAGGGCTTTGTGGAAGAGCCCATTGTTTTCCTGACTATGATTTGGATACACACCTTAAATATCCAAATCTTCCTAATAATTAGCTTTTTCTTTGCCAGGCCTATTCTAATTATTCCTGGGTTTATTTGTGATATATTAAATATGGCAATTAATGACATTCGTTTTTCTTCCTTAATACAGTAATTCCTATTGTGGCGCTTTTTATTTTTATTTATTTTTATTGCTTGTATTTTCCACTTTGCTTTGATATACAATTTAATTTTTTTAGAAAGGCATTCATGCCACATGGGTGTGATGTTTGGGAAGGAAGGTTTGCTCTAGAGATGGGAAATCTGTGGCCTTTCAGATGCTTTTGGAATGCATCTTCCTTCTTTCCCCTATGGACCGTGTGACTAAAAACAGCCAGCTTGGTATAGTAGTTTGACATTGGATTGTGACAGGAGACAAGATGAGGCTTTGAATTCTCTCTTATCCTGAGAAGAAGGCAATCAGAAAACACCCTCTGAAAAAATATTCCAAAGAAAACTCCATGATAGGGTTAATTTAGGATCCATATAATTTCCCCACAGCGCTATATCCAAGAATATTAAGGGAGAAAATCCCACAATATCTGTTTTGAACTGGGTTATCTGAGTCCATACTCAGATAATGTGGGATTTCTGTCTTGATATTCTGGGATATAGGACTGTGTGGAAGGGCCCTTGAAAATGATGACGGTATACAACTACAAGATAGGACTAACTGGAGCTTTAGTTCCACAATATATGGAAGATCATATAGACCTCATCCCTGGTTTTAATATTTTTCCAGTGCAGTATAACCAGTTTATCTTCTTCCAGCTGATATTGGCTGTGGTATTGAAAACATAAAGTTGTGTTCTTGACTCTTACCTGTCTGTAACTAATAGCAGCTTTTGGAGGTGTAGGCAGGTTTTCACATTATTGTGGAGTAAAAATAATAACACTTCCCTCTCCTGTTGTCATTTCAGTTCTGATTCAAATACCTCTCCCCTTCCACTTTTAAATAACTAAAAAGTCATAAAGAAATCCAAACATTACATCCAGTTTGGTCTGTGTTATAATGGAGAATTATAACAACAACAAAAAGCCTTTTTCCTTTTGAACAATATATGGTATTTTTTCAATGTCAATTTTCAAATGTCAGATTTTCAAATGTTAATTGATATGTAATTGGTTCATAAATTTAAAAATGAGATAATTAAGCTATGAGAAATTATATAATGGATGACTCTAATAGCAAGCATGCAGATTTCTTACCTGTGAAATGCTCAGGTTTTGGTTAACACCTCATATTGGAAGAAACTGCCAATGTGTCCTGTTGTGTGTTTTAGATGTAACATTGATCTTTTATGTGAATTGCTTACAAGAACAGAATATGGAAGACTGCCCAACTTGCCCAAAGAATGAATTAACAGTCCCATTGCTGCAGAAACATATAACTGCCCCTTTGGCTCTTCCAGATGGTCTTCGCCTCCAGTGTTGAGATGCTTGATAGAGGTGTGCCTGGCAGGTGAAGGACAATGTCTCTCTCCTCTCACTATGTGAAAGCCTATAGGGATACTGCTATTAATCTGTCACTAATTACCCTGCCAGGCAGAGTTCTGGAATGGGATGGCAGCTGCTTTGCTGCTGGCAAAAATAGGAATGGAAAATAAGCAAAAAGCCTTGATACTACAGAATGTGCCATGGTCTCCCTTTCTCTGAGCTCATCCAGGCTGGTGATTTGTGCCAGTTTATATTTTGCCATTTTAAGTGGCTTCCTTAATGCTTCTTGTTGCTTACATGTCTAAATACTTTCCTTCCATTAAAAAATTACACAAATAGCACATTTTATTATATTGATTTTGGATTATCCAAACAACAACATCAACCCTCCAGTGCCTTAACAGAGCACTTCCCAAACACTGGCATTCCAGGTTTTAGGACTCCCAGAATCCCTGATTATTGGCCAAGGCAGCTGAGACTTGTGGAGTTGAAGTCCAACCTGGAGGACTAAAGTTTGGGGAACATTGTCTAAAGTCCCTTCTACACAGCTACATACAATTCACATTTAACTGGATTATATGGCAGTGTGGACTTAGATAATCCCGTTCAAAGCAGATATTGTAGATTATCTGCCTTGATAGTATGGGTTATATGGCTGTGTAGAATGGCCCTTTGTTCAAAAGCAGTAGGTTTGTGTGCTCAGAAACATCACCCCCATCTAAGGGCCCTTCCACACAGCCATATAACCCAGAATCAAGGCAGATAATCCACAATATCTACTTTGAGCTGGATTATCTGAGTCCACACTACCATATAATCCAGTTCAATGTGGATTTTGTACAGCTGTGTGGAAGGGGCCAAAGTGTACAATAACCTGAAAACTTAAGGGTGGAAAGTTTTCAGCCCCCCCCCCCCCGCCCCTCAAATCTTGAAGGTTCAAGTTAAATTGAATTTGACTATTATTTGAAGAGATGTTATCTTCCTGAGCCTGATAGTCACTGCTTTTGTGCTAAGTTTTTTTCAGAGAGGAAAGGATTCTTTATAGAGATGGAAGGAAAAAAATGATGGACATTTTTCAAAGTGTGTGTGAGAGAGGGATTGGACACATCTACTTTGATTTCTGCAATGCATGTGACAGCCAGAGACCAGTTAAATCACCCTCAAAATTCAGGTGCAAGCATACTGCAGGAAGTGCGGGGAAATAAGTGTGGTATCTTAGTGTGAGGGATGTCAGGGACCACTACCCACCAGTGTCCTTCCCTTCTTCTTCCAAATTGTAGAGGCAGCTATATAAACCAGTGATGAGGACAAAAGCTAGTGGCCAGGCAGTTGATCTGTCACTTGACTACAGCGAGATACTGGAGACATAGCAGCCAAGAAGTGGGACAACTGTGGCAATAGCCAGAAAGATCTGGAGTGCAGAAGGTCATAAGTTTTGTCCTAACCTTGTAAGACTATAACCAGAGGAGAACAACAAGGAAAAAAGAGTGGACCAGGCAGTAACCCCATGGGAAGTAAAGATTTTCTGAAGGAGACGGGGAGCAGGGAGAATAAGAGCAACACCTTGTTTGACTTCACTATCATAAGCCAGCTTGACCAGCTGCTTTGCCTTCCAGAGCACTTCTGAAGAGCTGGGGAAGTCCCTGCTATGTCTTAAAAGGGACCTGGCTACTGTAGCTTTAAAAACTACACTTTAGAGGTCACTTTTGTGCTACTCCATATGTGGAGAGTGGTTCCCTAGGACCTGATTATTTCACCAACGAACCCTCTTCTTCAAGCCAGACCACATGAGGACCTAAGAACAAGGGAGAACTTGATCCTGTCCTTTTTTTTATCCTCCCTCTGTCAGCTGATTCTGGCACACTATAAATATGGCTTATCTTGCATGGAGAGGGCTTGGAAGGCTAACTTTACCCTGTGAATGAATAAAGAAGTGGGAAAGCTGGGCTTCGGGGAGTGGGGCTTGGGCCCAATAATGGAATTTGTGGTTGTGCCTCATTGGTAAATCATGGAGATTGATGGCTTTAATGATCCATTCCTCATGGAGAACTGAAGGCATTGCATCGCACATGGTATACATCTTCTGTTTTCACCATTTTTAAACACTTTACATCAACATTGTACATTCCCAGCCAGTTTCTCAACTGTTAGGATTTCTGGGAATTGAAAGCCAAATCATCTGGGGACCCACAGGTTGAGAATCACTGATATAGAGAATGTCAAGGGGTGACTGGAGAACTAATGCATTAGCTGCTTGTGCAGTGAGTCTCGAACTTTGGTTTTATGGGTATTTTGGATTTTAGCTCCCAGAATCTCTGACCATTAGCCAAGTGCTAAGACTGCCGGGAGTTGAAGATCAAAACATATAGAAGAGCAAAACCTGGGAG